CAGCTCTTCTGCAGCAGATCATTAGCACATTTTGACTCATTCAAAGCCAACTTAGTCCACTTCAACAAATGAAGTGCAGTCGACATCCTGAAGGGTGATTTTGCCCATGTATAAATCATTTATGTGATCGGGACAGAGAGGCAAGCATATACGATTCAAAGTTTCATGAATAACACCCATACCCTTAACCCACTGAGCTTCAACCAAGGGATTCAAATTCAGATGATTTTGCAGTAACCTAACTCTATACATGATTGTATCAGTTCTACCACAGAAATGAGAAACACAAGAATGTGATGGCTCATCAGATGCCAATCTGATCAAAGCCAAAGATATAGCCCCATCCACAGGTTTCGGGTCTGAAAGATTTTTATCACCCATCATCTTAATATCCCTCTCGGTTGGGAAGTAAACATCTTCATATCCATTTATATTTGAGACTTTCAAATCTTTACCGTAATGTTTAATTGCTTCAAGTTTGGTGGATTCATGCTTGTGTGCCAATGTTAAAATACAAGAGAACCTCAAGTGATAAGAAACAATTGTTTTCACCATTCTGAAGTTGTGACAACAGAAGAAATCCAGCCATCTCCTTCCAACACCAGCATACCACTTAATGATATCAGCATCTTCCAATGCGAATAGTAAGTCGATTGGCCTGGGACGACCCATATTATTTGTAAAACCAGCCATTCTAACAGCCTTCCTAACAAGTTCTATAGGAGCAGAAACCTTCATACACAACTTGGTCAGATCATCTACTGTGCGCTCAGAATATTTCTGTTCCTCTTCTTCTCTTGCCCTCTTTTCTTCTTCCTCCAATACCGTTCTTGCTTTGGTAGGTGCCAAATGCTTGTCAACTTGTTCTTGGAACTTGTCATAAGCATCAACGAGATCTGGTGGCAACTGATCTCTAACATGTCTTAAAGATAAAAAATCACCTCTAGAGAGCAGCCGATCCCAGTTCCATCTTTCTTCCAAGGACCCCAAGAACTCTTGTACAACGTCGTCTGCCCAAGTCCTAAAGATTTCTCTAACCTCAGTGTCAATTTGATATTCAGATTTAAACCCATCTTTACTCTGCTTCAACTTCTTAAAGACATGACTCAATATTTTCAAACCCAACTTTTTCCTATTCATCTCCCGAGTACTCCTCAATTCTAAAGCTTTAGCTTCCTTCTGTCTAAGATACTTCTTCTTCGCTCTTATTGCCTTTTCTGACATAGGGGGATGCAAGACAGAAGGAGGAACAGCCTGCAGCTCAATCCCCAAAAACATAATCTTCTCTGATACTGCACAATGGATGGCTGTTTTAACTCTATTGACCTTCAACCCCAAATCTTCTTCCAAAACATCCAAAACACGGTCCTTCAACTCCCTCGCTAACACCTTCGACCCAGACATAATTACCAATATCTCATCCAAGTACCTAACCGCATAAACTTTCACCGGATTATAGAAAACATTTGAGTTACTGAAATCATGCTCAACTAACTCAAATTTAGAGGTCTTCTTATTAACTAGAAGCCTCATTTCTTGAATTTCTCTATCAAATCTATGGAAATAAACATTAATCAAAATAGAACACAAGCCAATTTCTTGAGGAAGCCCTCTCCCTAAATAACAGCCACCGAATTTAACTCTAACCACTTGACATCGAAACAACTTCTTTATCACATCAATCAAGAAAGCATCCTTAATTTTCTCTCCAATAAACGTACACAACTTATCGACATTAAACTCATCAAGCTTGTTAGGACAAAAGGAAACATTAAACCACCAGCTTGGGTTTGTTACATTGCTCTTTAAGTACCTAATGGCAGTATGTCTGCCCATTCCAACACGACCGCCATAAGAGAATGTCACAAACTTTTCATCATAAACGATTTCCAGCACCATCCTAATAGTTTCAATCAGAACTTTTAGTTTCAAATTTGGTAAAATCAAAGGCTCACCTGAAGGACTTGGGGGTCCATTCTGACACAGCAAGAGGAAATATCGAACTTGTTATGGGAAATTTCATGACCTATTTCATCAATGGAGAAGTATTTGGAAACGGGGGCAGGAAGCGTCGTGGATGATGATGAATGAGAGGGGTTGGAGAGGTTTTGGCAGGCCATGAGAAGAACGGAGGGTAAAGCGATGACGTTGCGGAGGAGATTGGAGAAAGTTCCATGGGAGTATTGGCTAAGAACCAAGGATTTGAGGCGGGAATCTGTCAAAGTGTGGTTCCACAATGGTTTGAAGGGGATTGAGAAGGGATGATTAAGGGAAGTGACTGTTTTGAGGGTCTTAAGCATTGAAAATACAAAATTGATAACAGAGTGACTAATGGCTAAACATAAAATGTCCACAATAATATATAGAGTTAATTATATTATACAGTCTCAAATTATGACTTCTATTTTAAAATGGTATTTAATTTTGTAAACATTTTAATATCATCCCCAAGCTATGACTCATTTTAAATTAGTCATCAAATTTTTGAATATTTTAATTCCATCCCCAAACTATGACCTTCATTCTAAACTACTCCATAATTTTTTTAGCATTTTAATTTCATCACACACTATAAGTATATGTGAATCACATCCTCTGTTAATAAAATCATTCGGCCAAGTTATATTATTATATGTTTGAAGAAAAATTAGATTAAACTATGGTTGAAACTAAATAAATATTTGGATGAAATTGAAAGATTCAAAAGTTTTGTGATCAATTTAAAATGAGAGTCATAGTTTAGAGACGAAATTGACATATTCCAAAATCCTTTGGTTGTTGCATGTAAATGTTTTTCTCGAGTTATCCGCGCAAGAACTTGTCTTCACGTCTAGTTGTTCCAATTCAAAATCATGCACAGCTACTATACCAAGTAAGACTCTAATCAAATTATGCTTCACCATCAGAGAAATACATATGTGAAATATACACCAGGAACTTGATTGTATCCTTTAACAATTAACCTTATTTTATACATGGATTTTTCTATTTCAGGAGTCCATTCTTGTTTCTTAATCACTCACAACGAACAACTATTTTATCATTAAGAAATTTTTACCAAGTTTCATGTATTGTTCATGTAAAGAGATTTCATTTTCTATTACATAGACATCTTCGACTTGCTTGTGTCTCCACAACTAACTTCCTTGGAGTACGTTGATAGTTCTTGACTTGCATATGTATCCTCTGTCACGTTTAATGCATAAGCAACTGGACCAACTTCCACATACATTTGTAAACATTTGATTTTCTTTCTGGGTGTATTTTGAGCAATAAAATATTATGATTCTAATTTTAGCCGAAGCGTCTATGTCAGAGAAGTTCGAGACTTGGGTATTTGTCTAATTTCTGGAGATGCGTCTACTGAAGATCATGTACTAACCTAAAGCTTTGCCTTCTTCAGTGTTTGTGTATGATTTCCGTTAGTTGAGTACTCTGACTATAGGGTGTTGCTTTGTTGACTCTCCCGACTATAGAGCACAACTTTGTTTGATCCTTCGACTATTAAAAGTTACAAAATGGTTACCCGACTATTCATGTGTTCTAAACTTGTCCTTTTTCTATTAAAAAGTTGACGATCGTATGAGTTAGACATTAACCTGTTGATTGTGATATTATTAAAATCTGGTCCTAGAATCGTTTGAGTTTATGTTGTGTATTGATTCTCCGTTTACATTGTGCCATCGAGTCAGTGTTTGAAATATTATGTCGGCAAACCAGTGATTGAAAACGACGACGGTGTCAGTAGACATTTAAATTAACGTCAAACTCAATCAGTCATCATTTTTTAACAGAAAATGATGAGTTTGGAACATATAAAGAGTCATATGACAATTTTATAACTTTTAACAATCGAGAAACTCAACAAAATAATGTTCTATAACCAAAAGACAATTTTATAACTTTTAATACTCAATACACTCAACAAAACATTACTCTATAATTATGGGATCATTTGTTTATTTTATCTTAAAATAAAAGTAAATGAAATCGTCATTTAATAACTTTCTGAGCATGTGCTATATTTTATTAAAAAAAACAAACCATTTATTCAATGTAAGGTATTTAGAATACTGAAAGGCCGTGTCATACCTGATTCCAAACATGAAGGGGTACCTTGTGAACAAAACCTGTACTTAGATAATCTCAATATATTAGTTTTGCTGATGCAATCTATATTATACTTATATTTTATACTTCTAGTTGGGTTCCCCAATCAAAGACAAGTCAACTTTCTCTTAAATCCCACCTAATATTATTTCATTGAAATCATAAGCGAGACTCCTCCCCGAGATAGAGCCCAAAGTTTATACCATATTTTGACATCAAACACATATTTTTAAATTTTTAAATTTATTAACAACATATTTATATCTTATAAATACAATTATTTAAATTTAAATCTCTATAGATTCTTTTACCACGAATATATAAAAAGAAATATTACTTTTTTAAGATGATCCGAATTCGAACAACTACATTTACAAGGTGTATATGCATTGTCAGTAGGACAAAAATTCTGAACAGATATTACCTGAAAATTTTTCTTATATAATATAGTAGAAAAAGGATTTGCTCATATAAAGGGCTGGAAAAATTATTTTCTCATTCATGGTCATTACTGCTATAGTACACCATGGCAGATGTTTGGATTACCTAGCGACATTTGGAAGACGCTGGGATTACTCGACATCGTCTGAACTATAATATTGTTAGCTTGCGGGCATGCATGTATTTTGGAAGAAGTCGCTAGATAGTCCATGCGTCTTTTTAAAGTCGTCGGATTCATACATCTCCAATAAACTAGTAAAGCAATGGCCCAATATGGAGAAAAAAAAGTTCCAACATTTTATGTGAGACAATTTTATTTTCTTAAATATTGTTTAGATAATTTTATTGATATCATCTTATAATTACATTATATCATAAAAAAAACGATATTATAACGTGGTCTTGGAATCCTTTGAAAATTAATTCTGTATTTATGAACATACACAACTCCCATCTTGATTAGCAACATCAGCTTGGAATCCATTTCATTTTGGATATTACAACATCTTGCATCTAAGGGACTCATTAAGGCTTAATTTTAAAAGGGGAACCCTTCTTATTATTCAAACGGTGGAAAAAGAAACCCTTTTTGCAATTACTTAAACATGGGAAGGAGTTGTATCAGGTGGGGTTGGAGCCGATGCAACGCGCTTTCCACGCTCCGACCGGCTATTCTCGGCGAACTTGAGACTCGATGAGTGCATACCTTTTTTCTTTTCGTCTTCGTTCCACTCCGAAGAGTAATAATGTTCTTCGGTGGATTTGACGACGTCTTTGGAAGGCGGGAGGAACATGCCGCCCCATTGAGGGAAATGCACCAAAGACACCGGAAGAGTGCAAGCCACTATCATAACTCCCATCCATGAAAGACCAGCTGCTGTTGAAAACCTCGAAGTTGAGAAGAATATTAATTGTGTTAGTCCGGACCCGAAGTTCCCACCGGCACCCGTTAGACCCGAAATGATGCCCAAAGACCGTCGCGAAATGAAGGGGATGATGCCGAAAGTGGCACCACAAGCAGCTTGAGCACCAACGGAGAAGAGGATCATTGACAAGATAGCAATTGGAAGAGAGTTGGCACGGCCTAGCCAGATACAGAAGACACCTCCCATGGTTTGTAGGAACCACAGGACCCAAAGTCTGCCTCTCATGCCAAATAACTGCGCAGCTTTGTCGGACGCGTAGCCACCAAAGGGACGAGCAAGAAGGTTTGCCATACCAAAAGTTGCAGCAATTATCCCTGCTGTGTGTAGTTTGAGATTAAACCTGTCATAAAAGTACTCAGCAATGACGTTATCAGTTGACAATTCAACTCCCATGGAGTATCCATAGAGAAGAACAAAGATCCAAGTCCTGTAATTTGTGATGGCATACCATAGCACCTGAAATGAAAATACTTTTCTTTAGAACAGAATTGAAACCATGGAAATTAGCTTCATTTGAATCAGAAAACATATAAAGTGCTTACCTTGCCGAATTTATCTTTTGCGACATTACCCTTCTTCTGCAGACTGCTAAGGTTCCCATCAGGCAAGTCCTGGCCAAGTGTTAAGACCAAGATCCCCATGATTATATGTAGCCATCCGGGAATAAAGAAAGCGATTCTCCAGGCAGTGAATGGTGTAGATCCAGCTCGTCGAATGATATCATAAACTAAGGGCATTATAAGTTGAGTTGCACCTCCTCCCATGTTACCCCAACCAGCTGCAGTTCCATTAACAAGCCCTATAATCTTGCTGTTAAACATAGTGCTCATCCAGTACTGGCACGACACGAATGTAGCCAGTGAGAACCCGATCATAAACCGAACGGCAATATAACCTCCGGCGTCATTAACAAATGACATGCAAAAGACGGTCGGAGCCGATAACATGATCAAGAAAGCGCAACCGTAACGGGGTCCCAAAAGGTCACAAACGGCACCCATTACAAGCCTTGAGAATATACTTCCCGAAACAGAAGCAACCCCAGCATTCCCAATATCTTGCTTCTTTAGGTTGAGGTTATCACGGATGATGGGAACAAGGGGCGCTGCAGCGAAAGTGGAGACGAAGCAAGTGAAGAAGGAGATCCAAGATAAATGAAAAGTTCTCATGTGAGGATTAGCGAAAGAGAAGAGCTTGAACTTTTTGGCTTTGTGCTCCGAATCCACCGGCAGGTCGAAATTAGCTGTTGTATCAGTGGGAACCATAGGTGAAGCTACTGATAATGCAAAAGTTGGTTCTCTTCCAGTAACTCCATGCATGGAGCTTCCTGGGGATCCCTCAACCTCACTCATTTTCTTTTTTATTTCGCTCTTTTTTATTTGAACCTTGTTGCCTTGTTGTTTAGAGTAAACGAAGATGGATGGTATATATATATACACCATTGGCGTTGACATTTTTAGAGGTGTTTAAAGAGCTAATGGAGATTCCCAACAGTTAAGAATCCTCTTCGCCGCATCTAGCCATGAATTGTACAAAGGATAAGTCTCATCGTATATCCCAAAGGTTTAATTCGACACTTTAAAATATCCGATAAGCTTCTTAATTACCACACTAACCTCATCTTATCAACATTAACAACAATTTTTTAAGTTGTTATATGGTGGAGATAAAGGGCATTACAGGACATTAACTTCGTTCAAGTTGAATTTGAGAGCCAAGTAGCTACATATATATATAATTGATTATGAGATGTGCCAGGTGAAATGTAAACCCAGGAAGATGTTGACTTTAATACATAACTTTGTATATATGGCTTTAAACTGAAATTTAAGTTACTTGTGAGAGTTTATCTTTTAAATATTTATGTTTGTATTCATATTTAATAGATATTTATTTAGATATGGATGTAAAAATGTTTTTTAAAATATACAATTTTTATTTATTTTTAAATTATAAAGTATATTTTCATATTTGATATTTATAAAATAACCAAATATATCTTCCAAGGGAATTTCATGATGGTGGTCGTGTTTTAGTGATTAAATATAATCGAATTAATGGGTCTAAAAACAAAAATATTGATTAGTAAATATTGAATCAGAATATATTAAATGAATTCAGTAATGTAATTCAAATGCCCAAGGATATATATGTCCAAAACTACTTGAGCTATCATTCAAAATCCACTACCATGCGAACTTATCGAATGGAATTATCGGTAAAATAGAATGTTATTATTTTTAGAAATTTAAATTTTGAGTTACTATATCTATAGAATGTTTGTTTTATTAATAGATTAAAAAATTAAACAGATATGACATGAGATATTACATGATGGATAGCCTGGACTTTTTTTTTTCACGTCGTGGTTTGCTTACCAGTTGACTGATGCAGACAGAAACTATATGATACTGCCTCATTCTACCCTTTCATAGTGTCTGACAGTTTTTTTTTTTTTGGGAGTATTGCTTTGATTTTTGAGAAGAATGTCAACGTTATGAAAGCTTAACAATTGCCTGCTAATGGGCTGAGAAATTGGAATCATTAATCATTTGAGAGTTATGTCAATAGTAAATAATTTGATGGTGTAATTTCATCAAGTAGCTGACCTTTGCCAGTATATTTTTTTTATGTAAATAAAAATCGCTAATTTTATTAAAATAGATGAAATATCCAAGATTATAATTAATGTTTATAACTAAAGACAAATTAAACATATAATTATGATATTTTCTATATTCATTGACATAAGAAACAAGCCACTTATGATCATACAAGGAAAAGATTAAAAATCCATCCCAAAAAATTGAACAAATATAGATAAAAATAGATCTAACTGCATCGAAAATAAACCATAATAAATGATCAAACTATTGAAAGATCACCGAAAATAACAAAATAGAATCGAGTGTCATGAGAAAACCATCTTCAAACGCAAGCCGCGTATCCAAATCCAATCCGAGAATCCAAAGCATAAAAGATTAACATGACAACAAATAAGTATCATCTTGATCAATCGAAATGATGTCAAATCTAACCCTGAAAAGATTTAAAAAAATTAAAAGCCAAAACGATGGAAAAATATTAAAATTAAGTCAAAAAGACAAATAAAAACGTTGACAATAAAACTAAAGATGTATTATAAAATATAAATGAAAAATAATGAATATCTATTGTCCAAAATCAACACAAAATTAGTAAGAAAGAGGCCAACTTCTCAAGTATAATTAAAATAAGATGAAACTCGTCATAAGAATCCAGCGGCTCACTATTATTTCCAAGGGACAGAGAGCATGGAATATATTAATATATGTCATCTGACTTATGCATCCCAATGTACATACACTTTTTTTAATCTATGAAATACGAAGACTTCTCAATATGTCATTCATCTTAATACAAATTAGTAATTTTTTTTAGCAAATATGTACACATTTAAATGGTTTATATGGAAAATATCTTTTGAATGATGACATTTGTTTACTAACAAAAGAAAAAGGAATAATGTCTGCTGTAGCAAGATAAAGCACCCGCCGTACACACGTACTGTTTGATATATATCTTTTGAATGATGTCATTCGTTGATTAATATAATGTTGGTATGATATTTTTTTATTTTTTTTAATGATGATGTGATATTATAGTATAATGAAACGTTAATATTATCTTTAATTTTTTATCGGTGGGTTATCGAAATAAAATATAAACTAAACGTTTGGTATAGTTTTGAAAAATAAAAATTAAGTATCAAAATAAAACAAAAATAATAATTTAGACATTAAATATGTAATTTATCCTTAAAAAAAAGGTTAAAGAGAATTGAAGAATGAAGATAAACTCGAGATATGTATAAGAGATGAGATTTAATGTGATTTGACCTTATCTACTTCCATGGCTTGAAGAATAATAATTCACTATAAACGTAAAGAATATGAAGAATACAAATACATAATATCACACGTATCCACTATAATCGCTTGGTTCATTAAAAAAAGGAAATAGTTAATATTGAAGTAATGGTTCTTTGAACATGAAATATCAAATTATATTCTAATATTAATAACACTGAATAGAGATGAAAGATCCTTCTAATTGATGGTATAGTATTGTATAATATTATGGTATAATATTTTTTCTTTGAATAATATTAAACCTTATGAATAAACAATTCTTTGAAATCATTTATTGCGAGAAAAGTAAATAAATAATGATGATCTAAGTCTTTTTAAACATTTTAATGAAATACTTTTTTACCCACCCCAATTGTTCGAACTATGGCTTAAAATTCTTTCATTTTTAAAATATTTTTATTTATATATTTAAATTAATTTTTCATAAAATAGAAATGATTATTAAATAAAAAAAAGCATGTTTATATACAGGTAAAAAAAACGTGTCCAAGAAAACTATTATATTATCTATAAATATTTTTAAATTTATACTTTTTATTTTTTAAATTGAATTTGTACCTTATCTGTATAGGACAATACCCTGTTTTTAGTACAATTAAAACAACGCCTATTGTTTTTTTTTTTAATTAGGATCGTTTGATAATGCTTCTCAGAAGTGATTCTCCAACAAGTTTTTGCGTTGCCAGAATTTTGGTTCGACACTTTTCAAACATAAATTTTTAACTAAAAATCAACTGTTTGAGATTGCTTTTACGTTTAAAACAGATTTTTTTGGGGGGAAAACACTTGAAGCAGAAATATAATTAATATATTATATCATGCAGAGATGGAAAAAGAAAGTCTTCTTATTTGATTAAACATAACATAAAGCCATATGATTGCAGGCATGCCCCTTCAAAATGCCCCAAAAATACAAGCTCACAATAAAAATACTGGTTAAAGGAATAAAGATAAAGCTTTTTTATATTTTAATATAAACAAAGCAAGAATGAAGAAAGCTTTTATATATTTCCCAGTGTCAACTTTCAGATTCAATGGAAACCTTCAAGCCATCCAGCTGCTGCTGCGAAACCAATAAAATATTCTTTCTGCTAATACTTGTATTTGAGTCTATTGCAACTAATTCCATCACACCGGCGAAAGTCTGTTCTCGTTTCATATCTTAAGTACTGCTACTTCCACTTCTTGGAACCGGTTTGTATAGCACAAGAGTAACATACTTCGAACGAAAGCGTTGAGTAAATCCAAGCGCCACTGCAGATCTTGGTGGCTCTCGGTTTTCAATGTAAAGATGATTTAAAATCACGTTGTCGGGGAAAGGAAGACTCCCGGATGTGTTCATGCTAGCAGGGTACCTAAGCAAGGTACGATGCAGCTGTGGAGGGACAAGTGGTGGGTCACGTGCATCATCTTCGTTCCCAGGGTACACATTATTATAACTAGAATCTGGTGATCTTGGCACTTCAAACCCCATGACAGTTGCTTCATCCTGCAAAAGAATGCATGTTAGAACACCGCAAATCTTTTTCTAATGGTCTATAAAAATTACCAAGATTCAATGACATACTTGATCTTCACCATATTGGTTTTTCATATTGACAAGTAACACGAGAGGCTACGAGGCCTAAATCATAACACAAGTGAGCCTGAAACAAAACCATTATTCCTACTGTAAGAATTTCAGTCTGACAAGGCAACAGGTGAAATTAACAGTTAAATAAGTACACAAACACTTGGAATTTTACAATGAAAAACAGTCATTAAACCATAATTCAAGAAGGCCCCACTCAAACCAGAATATTTCTCTACAGATGAAAGTTTGCCACAAGCCAATTAAACCCCATCACTTTGCACTCACGAACATAAAAGATGAGGCTTTAAGCAATTTTGCTGGTTTGTATTGCTTTCTCAAAGAGTAGAGAATGCATTCAAGCTCCAACAGAGTTCAGCGTGAATATGCATATCATCTAAAGTTACTACTAGCTTGCTTTTAATCAAGAACTATGAAGCTAACAAAGATCTAACTTACTCGGATCTTAAAAGTAGTTCCAAGGTCTTAATTTCATCTACTCCAAGAAAAGGACATGGATAGTGTGTAATCTGGTAACCACAATTCCCACTGATGAATTATTTAATGACATAACATCTAAATTTGAGAATCCAGTATTCTTTGAGCACCAATCAGCCTTGGTTTCCTTCTTTGTGAAGAAGAGATAGTCCTAGTACTTAAGGGCCTTTTACATTATAATAAGCAAGTACTGTAAGCTGTCTGACAAATAAAAAGAAGAAATGTTTAGAGTATGACCGATGCATCTTTTGCTTGTCCACAGGCATAGCATGGATGGATCTTATTTAGTAAAATGTACATATAACTGAATTTCATATGTATTTTACAGGGTCAAGTTAACACTCACCGGCAAACTAATACCTAAGTTCCATACTGGTAGATCCCTGTCCATCCATTGATGCCTAGTCTTTATGAGGAAAAATGTGCCCATAAGGCTTACAAAGTTGGAATCATCCATAATAGGGCACAAGTTAGCAATCATTTCAAAAATTGTTAACTTTTTATTTTTCTTATACAATCAATAAAATTTGGTGTCCCGTAACAACATTAGAGAAAATATGTTGTTTGTGAGGGAAGAACTCTGTAACAAATCGAAGGATTCAAATATATGATCACTTTATTTCTATGCTGTCAGAGAGATATCTTCGGCATCAAGTGACACATAGCCAAAAGTGAAAAGTAACCGGACCATGCATTTCTATACTTAATATTTTCCTTTACCACAAATGTCACGAGCCGGAGACCAATCAGTTACTTTCATTTCTCCACACCGTGTAATGCCAGCATCATGAACATAATCGATTTTATCCTCTTTGGGTGGCCACCAGTTCCTCAAGGCTTTGACATTCGAAAGCGTGCCTCCCAAGGTTCAAATCTAAGACCTCCTACATATAGCCTATAGGAGACCATTTGATCTAAACCAATGGTACCAATGTTGTGGAAAGGATTCCTATACGTAAGTGGTCTGGGTTCATTCCCTAGGAGGTACACTTTCAGGTAACAAAGCCTTGAACGGCTGTTGGGTGCCCAAAGAAAACAATATCGGCTTGCACAATGCCACACGCTGCAATGCAGGAGAATGAGGGTAACCAGTTGATCAGTGGGTTGTGATATCAAACGTCAGTTGAGGCATTTTTATCCCCAGAATTCTGTTGAACATCAATTCTAAACAACTGTTAGACGTGGTCTTGTTAACTTTCTTAGGTTTTTGGTATTCTCTAACCAAATACCATTAACTACCCAACAATTCATCACAATATCTGTTCTTCATAACAAGAATGACCATAACATAGAAACGTCAATATCTTCAAAGCATAAAATGCAAAGCTAAAAAGAAGCAAAATCCTCTGGCGAAAATACACGCCATTAACGGCAATATTAGAGACAGTGAACTTATTTGTTAACTAACACTGACCCAATTTGATTGCGGTCAATCGCCTTCAACCACCAACACTCCTGCTTTGAACACTAAGTTTCTCCTATAAAAACCAAACTCTAACGCCAAATAATTGAATAAATTTTCACTGTCGTCAAGCTTACCTGAAAAACAAAAGCAAACGCAGATCAAATGAAATGTAACCCTTAAAAAGGGGACGAAGAATTTAAACCCCAAGTATTCACTGGAAAACCATAAAAAAGATTAAAATTGAGCAACCCAAAGTTGTGAAAAGAAGAGGGTAAGAAATTAAATACATAGGAAGATTGTGGCTTACCCTGCGAAGAAGATAATTTACCAGAATAAAAACTAAAGGGGTAACTATAGGTAATTGCGGGAGAAGAACCCAAAGGGAAATCCGCCACGAGAATCTGCTATGAAATGTGTTTGATTTAAAAAAATAACGATAATAAAGTTTATATGCTAAATAAATGAGAAGAAGAAGAAGAATTAATTAACCCTTTTTTCCCTTTAAAAACTCAAAATATTTTAAAAATAATTTCAAAATAGGGAGACTATAATTTAGAGGGTATGCATCACAGTAAAATGCATTTATTAAAAAAAATAAGAAATAAAAAACTAAAATAGAGAAATTTTTTAGGGAGAAACAAATTTCAGGGCGGAGCTTTTGCAAGAAAAGACACGACCATGCCCCTTAGCTATTTTACTTTCATAATTTTTTTTCTTCCTAATTGTCCGTCTTGTCTTAAATTCACGTCGCTTATTCATAATCATATATATATAAGTTATGCATCTTATTGATCTCGTGATTCTTTGGGTATAACTATCAATATTCAATTTATTGATCGATTAATCCGGATCGGATACTATATAAGTCAATTATAAAGACGATTCTCTTAATCCAATTTATTTCATTAACGACGTCATAATTCGAATTTATAGCCTACTTAAATCTTGTGTTTTTGCTACCACACTTTTGTCTATCATAATATTGCAAACATGATTTTTTTGCATGATTTTAATGTTTCAAACATGTTCATGTATGATTTTTTTTTACCATAGATACAATTAGAAATTAATTAAGTGGCCTAAATATGCATCTTCTAGCCTAATACTTTATGAACCTATAAAATGATCGATCCCTAGGAGCATTGGATTGATCCAATCCAATGGCTACTATCTTTAAAAAAAAAAGATCAATTTCTTTGCACAAAGGATTTAATCGCTCGGGAAAATGAATCGATATATTAAATTTTAGATTTGTGAAAATGCTTTTGAGATTGTATTTTTAAGTCCCTAAAGTTGTTTTTAGTCTTTGGGTACCTAAAGAGCAATGTTTTATAAAATGATCCCTAAATTTTAGATTTGAAATTAACGATAAATTCTAACTTGAATTGAGTAACGAATTTCATATAGTATGTTTTTTATTATTTTATTTTTATGTGTGAACTAGAAATTTAGAAAATGTATGTTAATCCTGAAAATTAATTAACATATTATAATTTAGTCTCTAAAATATTTTATTTGTCTAATTAAAACTTGATTTACTGTCTGATTGAACTGAGATTTTACATGTTTCTTGTGAGCATGTTGAATAAGTACGGTAGTTTAAGTTATAAATTTTACCATGTTTTTGTATGATATGTATGTAAAATGATAAAAACATCCCTAAACTTATAACTTGATTTAATGGTACTTTTTTATGTTTTAAGTTTACATTCGGTTGAGAATGCTAATACAATCTTTCAACATATATTTATATGAAATGGTATAGTTATATTCATAAATCGAAAGAAATTGTAGCAGGCAATCTATATCGGTGATAAATATGACATAGGGTATTCGAGTTAAATTGTCCTAATCAAGTATAAGGTTTAATTAATTGTTATCCAAATCTCATAACATTCTTCCAAAGAGACACCTTAAAGAATAATTGGTCTCCTATAGTGGACTTGGTGTCCTTCCTTTTTAAATCACCATACGACTTTTGTGTATCATAAACTAATTACAATCAGTCGTGAATCAACCAACCTAAACTTAGTCTTTTAAAACATCTTCGGATGCATAATTTTATTTTTATCCAACTCAATCCAACATTAGGATGTTCAACATTTATATTCATATTGTGCGTTAGACGGTGTCATCTGAATCTTCAGTTGATAACTGTTATAATTCATGTGACTTTTCATCCCAAAGAATTTTGTTTCTACTTTATTTTTAGATTTTAGGTTTTCATCGATAATTTTAAATCGTTCTTTTTAACCTATCGAACTTACAAATTTAACCTTTTTGTACAAAAAATATATCAATATCTATAAGAATTTGATACATTTGCTACAAAATTTCTAAAGTTTTCATTTTTGATATTGTAATTTTAATTTCATTTTCGTTTGGTCATTGTGATTCCAACCAAAAACTACAACCAGATCAAAGTAGCTTACAACTTCCCTAAACTTCGACAATGTCGTAGTTAAACAAAACAAAGGGTATGTTTGTTTGGGGGAAAACCAATTACGGATTTTGTTTTCCCGAAATTACGTGTTTGTTTCACGTAATTCGTTTTTCGGAAAATGTTTTCTAGTGTTTGGTTTGAGGAAAACTGATTGGTCAACAGAATTTTCTTTGTGTTTTCTAGAATTTTTCACTTCAAAGAATAAATACTCAAAATAATTTTATTTTATGAATTTAATATTAATAAAATATTTTAATATCATTTTAATCAAAATATTAATTATTAAAATATTTAAAATATATTTATTAATATTTCTAATAATATAATATTATATTTTTTAATATTATAATCAATTATATTATAATAATATAAGATATTATATTTTTATTTTAATAATATATAATAAATTATTAATAAAATTTATATTATTTATTAATTTCATAGAAATAATATTATTAAATTATTAATAATGAATAATATTATTTATATATTTAATATTAATATAATAATCTAATAATATTTTAATAAAGATATTTTAAATATACTTATTAACATTTTTAAAATATAATATAACGCTGTTACTTTAATAAATAATTAATACAATTTATAATATTTTTATTTCAATAAAATATACCAATATTAATATTTTTATTAATAAAATTATAAAAATAATATTTAATAATAAACAAATTATTTTAATATTTTAAAAATAATAATATTAATTTTTATAATAAATAATATATTATTTCTTGTATTTAATATTTGTAATAAATATTTTTTTAAAAACTCATCAACTATTGGAAAAAAAGATTTAAACAACATCTTTCAAACATCGTAAAACGTTTTCAGAAAATGTTTTTCAGAAAAATATAATTCATTTTACGCAAAACATTTTCTGGAAAACGTTTTCCATAAATGTAATTCATTTTCCAGAATTCAATTTCCAGATAATCAGTTACAGCCAAACAAACAGACTCAAAGTCAAATATTTAAAATTCAACGCATAGTTGTAAACTTTCTAATTTTTATTTATTTATTTTCATCTCTATATTTTTAATATCCTTTCTAAGTTTTGTTATATACTTATAGTTTAAATACCAATATGATTTAATTTCCTTCCTTATTGTTTCACTTAAAGGGTCAATTTCTAAAATTGAATGTTTGCAAAGTTGTTTGGTTAGTTTGAAAACCCTATGAAACTCCAGGGGTTAAGAGTCAGTTTACCCACTCAAGTAAGGGTTTATAAACCCATTTTCAAACGGCTGAAGGGTTTTGAAGACCGAAGCCGCCGATGATGTAAACCCTAACCCTTTTTTTATCGTCTTTTAAATTTTTATATTTCAATTTTTTTTTATATTCGTGATAATTCATCTTCTAAATTTTTATAAATTCATCATCTCAAAAATTTATAATATCGTCTCCTAACATAAAATACATGCATGTTATATCGCTTAAGCAATGTATCTAGTTTGAGTCATTTGATATGCAGAAAATCTCTGCTAGGAGATTTACCCACCAAATTCAAGTGTGCAACACGGAACGATCCGGATTAGTCAACGCCTAAAAGTGTAGTATGAATAATAACAAGAATAATAAATTTAGGATGGATTGTTTGTGTATTTTATTACTATGATGATGTGTTGTTGAACTTCTGCTATCGAAATATAGTTTATGTTCAAATAAGTTACGGTATGTTTGATTAAAGTTTAAGCATGTTTAGTAGGTGAAATTTGTCATTTGATATGTATGATATTGATACTGTACAGAGAGTAGATAGTATGGCACAATTTGAAATTTCAATATACCATCTTGGTATCGACATCAGGCTTGAGTATCGATATTGATCTTTGGTATCAATATTATATTAAGTTTTGATGTTATGAGTTGTCAATGAATATCGATGTTAATGTTAAAGTATCGATATTTTATGAATTAGTATCGATACTCATTTAATAATATCGATATTAGATGTTCAAAATATGTAAATTGTGCAAATTGATCCTTAATTGTTGTATTAGTTATATTATAAGTTTATAATTTGATTTGGTATATATAAATGTTCACAAAGTATAGTTAGTTGGAACTATTGAATGATTTTATTAACTTTTAGATATTTACACTTTAGTATTTGAATTTTTAGAAAATTGCGATCTAGTTCTTAATCAATATATCACTTTGAAATGAGTTAATGATTAATGTTTAAAGCTTATATGATCTATAATATGATTGTTCTTGTATGAATAATGTAGGACATTGCTATATGATTCTGATTTAAGTTTTTCCATAGCATTTCCGATCTGGTTTTTGTCTTGATTGAATTGGGCGTGTTACATTTTCATATTAGAGCTAGGTTTAATAAATTATAGGATTAAATTATCACATTCAAAATGTCTTATTGGAAAAGTTAATAAAACAACATGTGTTCGATATATCAATCATTTTTTAAGGGATAATTTTTTTCATTTCCTTTGTTTTATATGATTTAGCACGTGGTTAAATTTATCTTCTAAACTATAAGTTTTATTAATGTGAGACACAATTAATGAGGGGAAAATATTACTTTGAAAACTAACAGTAAATAAATGTTTTTGTGTATATTCTATATATATATATATATATATTGACCTGGACACCCATTAAAATTTCATTTCAAGTACGCACTCTATTCTAACAGTAAATCTCGTGTTCTTGACCTTTGGGATCCCTAACAGATGGGACAAGACAAGTTCTTGCATGCGCAAAAACAAGGGTTTTGATAGGTTATCATTTTACGCTTATTTCTTTAATTTTTACATTACATTTCACAAAGGTGAAAATATGTCTTATCTCCTGCTTTTTTATATTATTAATAAAAAATCTTCACCTAACCTTTCCCATTTTTCTTCTTTTCGTAATGGATATATTAATTCAAATGGAATCCCATAAAAATATATAAATATATTGGAATC